CTACAATTGGGTTATATTAAAAACAAAGGTAATAAATACTCAAACTGATTATTTCCTAATTATTTTACTACATGTTACTGTTATCTGTGCCTTCGAGGTTATTTAATGTATGTATCAGTATAGTAGAAATACTGCATAATGGCGTTTACTATATCATGATAACAGAACATATAATGCTACTATTGTCTCTTCCCTGCATTTCCTGGCATCGCATTAGTAGCTTAACATTGGTCATGGTGGGAGTATTTACACCACAGTAATCAGCAAACACTGCAAATCAAGGCTATTCCACACACACCCACCCCTCCCAGACCTGGTGGTTAAACATTTATTTATCATCACACCACTGGTTAAGGACAGTCTGAGGCTCAAATGGTGACTGTGGAGTCTTGGCAAAGACCTTCCAGTTCTGTCAAAGATCTGGGCTTTCTTCTGCATAAGGAAATAGAATTTATTTACTTATCACTGGGCCAATTAACCAAGTGATTTAGAGCATTTGATTCAGTCCTCTTGAATAGGAGGTGGGGTTCAGACATGGAACCAAATTAAGGACTAGCTAAAACGCAGGGTGGGTGAGGCAGCAAAAGCAGCTTTCCATAAGACATGCCTGCTAGGGTGCCATGTCAGTTTACTATTGCTGTGGCAAAACCCAGGAGTTACCGTCCCTTTTCATGGCAATGACCTGATGACCTGGAAGTTACCACCCTTATACTAGAAATCTCTGCATAATCCACCCATTAATTTGCATATAATTAGATACCCATATGAGTGCAGCCCCGCCTCTGCGTTGCTGTTCTGGGCACACTGCCCATGGGTAGCCCTGCTCTTCGAGGAGCAGTGCCTCTGCTGTTGCTGTGCACTGCTGCTTGCTGGCCACCACCACCAGCTTGCCCTGGAATTCTTCCCTGGATGAAGCCAAGAACCTTCCTGGGCTAAGCCCCAATGTTGGGGCTTGCCTGTCCTTCGTCACTCTTGCGTGTCTAACTTTCTACTTGTCAGGTGCTGACATGCAGGATAAAGAACATGAGAAGGCTCAGTCTTGAATTCCAGAGGTACAGAGGTGGACAGTGTCCCTGGGTACTCCCACCCAGGCAGATGCTCAGAGGCCAAGGTTCAATTTAGGTTCAATACCAAGGAACAGAAGCTCAGTGCTGAAGAGGGATGCTTATGGTGGATTCATGAGTCATAAGAAATATGTCTGAGCCTCAAGGTGGTGAGTTTAGATCAGTGGTGAAAAGGCCTTCCAAACAGGGGAGAGCAGAGTTTGGCAGGAGTCAAATTTCGTAGTCATTTTCTGAAAGGTCACTCAGCTTTTCTGAAAGGTACTCCCCCTGTCAAACATACCAAGAGTCCTTCTGTGTGACCACAGGGGACAGATGGGAAAGCACGGCTGGCTCCTCCCCATGCCCCATTGAAATCTCGGGTTCTGGCTGCAGCCCTGTTGCTGAGTAGCTGTGTGACCTGGGGCAAGTCAAACCCTACCCCTACCTCATGATGGCCCTCAATTTCCTTATCTTCAGAATGAAGGTTTAGACAGGACACAGTGGCTCACATCTGTAATCCCAGAATTTTGGGAGGCCAAAGCAGAAGGATCACTAGGGACCATGAGTTTGAGACTAGCCTGGGCAACATAGCTAGATCCCCATCTCTTAAAAAAACTTAAAAATTAGCGGGAGTGGAGGCACACACCTGTCATCCCAGCTACTCAGGAGGCTGAGGCAGGAAGATCTCTTGAGCCAAGGAGTTCCAGGCTGCAGTGAGCCATGATCGCACCACTGCACTCCAGGTTGGGGAACAGAGTGAGACCCTGTCTCAAAAAAATGAAGTTCATAGGAGAGTTTGTGGTCAGCTGTGGCTGACCCCATCCCCCATCACAAGCAGCCTGGGAGAGAGGCTGACAGCACAGTGAGCTCAAGGGAAAAGCTGAACTGACGGTTGTCCCCTTCTCTCTCCCGGTTCCTCTGCCCCATCAGCTAGGGGATAGATTCAAGTCAAGCTATCCTCAGCTCAAAGCAGAGGGGAACAAGATTGGCTGGAGGAAGGTTAAGTACTTCAAATTTGTTCAGAATTTGAAAGGCTTTTTTTTTTCTTTTTTTTGAGAAAGAGTCTCTCTCACTCACCCTGTCACCCAGGCTGGAGTGCAGTGGCACAATCTCGGCTCACTGCAACCTCCACCTCCTGGGTTCAAGTGATTCTCCCATCTCAGCCTCCTGAGTGGTGGAACTACAGGTGTGTGCCACCATGCCCAGCTAATTTTTGTATTTTTGGTAGAGACAGTTTCACCATGTTGGCCAGGCTGGTCTCAAACTCCAGAGCTCAAGTGATCTGCCCACCTTGGCCTCCCATAGTGTTGGGATTACAGGTGTGAGCCACTGTGCTTGGCCTAAAAGGCATTTTGTAGACTAATGGTGAACAGATAGGCACTTAGCAGAAGGCCTGTGTCCTCTGTAGAAGCAGTAGGTGAGTTTAACCGGGATGGAAAACATCTGTTCTCTAACTACTGAACCAGAATGTTGAATGGTAGAAAAATGAAAGACTAATCCTTCTTTTTTTCTTTCTCTTTAGAGATGGGCTCTTGCTCCAGGCTAAAGTGCAATGGTGCGATCTCAGATCACTGCAGCCTCAGCCTCCAGGGCTCCAGCAATCCTCCCACCCCAGCCTCCTGAGTAGCTGAGACTACAGGTGTGCCACCATGCCTGGCTAATTTTTTTTTTTTTTTT